ATTTTGTTGGTGTTATTGAATCGATTTGAGACCATAAAGGTTATTTGCCCTTTTTTCATTCCTTTCCCAGTTTTTTAATTATTCTTCGTTCATTCAGTTTGTTCATTCAATTCTTCATTAATTCCTTTTTTTTTATTTCCCCTTTTCTCTTATCTTATTGCTTTTCTATATTTTCACGACATCCGATCCTTTGCAAATCCTAGAAGTGTTTAGAACTCTTGTCGCATATGGATCTGATATATGTCCCGATTGGCTATTTCTCTTCAACTGTATTCAGAACACGTGCCGTGTAGTAATGGCCCAGCGCACCACAGAGTTCTCAATAGTTTCATCGGTAGAGCATTGGAGCGCGGAACCTTTCCTGAAGGCTAGGGTTGGATTCCTTATATAGGAACTCAGTCTTTTTTCTTTCTACTACGCTTGTAATTAGATTGACTACATTTTCCTTTCAATTCTTGGTAGCTTTGTTCACAGAACATCCCGCCGCGAAACCGGGAGATCTAAGGTTCAACTTTGAATCCTGGCGAAAGACTCGGATTTTACTTCGTCTAGATCTCCCTCTTGCGACAAGTTTCTACTTTCTTTTTCCTTTCCCTTTGTCAAAATCGTTAAAAAATTGTTATTTCGGAAACTTTTCTATCAAAAAATTTACTGGGTCAAAATATCAGCTGTGATATCGGCCAAGGCGGTAAGGTGGACTGAAACCAATATAAGAAATGCATGCATGTCGTTGAGACAAACTTGGCACCTTATAGATATCTCTTTTTTTGTTTTATCTCATTCATATCTAAATCATACAATATCAGTTTATTAAGCAATAGACCCGCAAGTTATTCACGGCACATTTGAAAACCCACGCGAGCCGAAGCTTAAAGTTTACAATTTTACTGAGTGTTGTCCCAACATCACTGAGAGGGGTTATTACGCCCGTAAAACCAGTAGAATGCGCAATGATTGCTTTAAAAAAATAGTAACGAGTTTACTAGTGGATAAAATATAGGCTTCTGACCAATCAGCATACACACAGTGTTCCAGTTACATCACGTATGCTACTTGAGTAAGTCACGACTGAAAGTTTTAAAAGTGTTAACAACTATTTCAGTTTGATGCATGCAGGATTTTGATGAGAATTTAAACAAATTGCAGTGGTGCTGCATAATGTGACGCGAAACCAGTCGACCTCATAACCTGAAAAAGACTGACAATATGCTGTCGTAAGGATGTAATCCATATCAGAAGTGACTGTGAGACAGACGGTAGAACCTCATTACTCGTTTCGGAGGAACTGGTGCACTGCCTTTACCCCTTAGAAGAGTCGATTTAGCGATGCTATGATTTCGGGCGTTTTGAAACGGCTAAACGAACGTTATCGTCAACGGGAACTTTAGGAGTATAGCAAGTTTAGAAATGATGTTAACTGAGGTCACAAAAAAAAAAAAGCAAAGACGGTGGAGTGCTTTGTTCCGTGGGGAAACAAAAACGCATCTCTCACTCTACTTCCTGAAAACATCCTTCGCGCAGCTGCTGGCACAAGCAAACTTCTTTGCAATCTTAATAGTGTTCAGCATGTCCGTGATTTATTTGTTACAACATACTACTTCGCTAAGCAAGTTCCTGATAAAGGGATTTTGAAGAAGTCACGAAACTGAATACTTCGCCAAGTCAGCTCTATGCTGAATACCTGGAATACCCCCTAAATGTTTGTCAAACGACCCGGGATACATAGACCTGCAATAAATTCAAGTAAAATATTTTTAACATACCTCTACTAGATCAAGCCCGATAAAATACTTGGTTTACCTGAATTATACTTTCTTAAACTTTTTTTATTACACTTTTTTTGCCGGGGTTTTCAGAATGAATCAAAAAAGAGGAAAAAAATGAACGTTTCTATGTGGTGGAGTACTTTCGACAGTTTAGCTTTAACGAAACCACTACTATCGTAACCCAAAGGATGACCACTAGATATCGAATATATAAACTCAAAGAAAATGCGTGCCAAACGCAGGAAAATGCACATGACTATGCGAGCCGTGATTGGCTTAGAATTAGAATATAATTGGTTTAGAATTTGCATCTGATTGGTTGAAAAAGTGACGCCAGTTTTCCAAGCCAATGGTAGAGAGCAGAAAAACAAACAAAAAGTTACAGGTTTTTATTACTTGGTTTTTATCACTTGTTTGTAAGTTTCTCTAACTTGTTTTTGTACTGAAAATTTAGTGTGATTTTGGCACAGTTTTAATTTGACTTTGTTTTATTCATACTATTAGTTCTCTCTCCTCAGCAGAATTACCTCCGACAATTAAGATTTATCAGTAACTCCTTTTGCTAATCTTCACCACCTGAAGTCTCACGAAGTATAAGTATTGTATGGTGAGATTTTATCAGCTGTCTTTAGGATGCAGAAATCAAAAGATTAAGGACATTATAAAATGATTTTTCGTGTCGTGCTAAATTTCAGTCTATCGCCTAAAGGAAACCAAAAATATTTTAGACAGATCTGAAAACACTAAAGACGAAGGAGATGAAGAGAGCGAGAAAGGATGGTTGTTAAAATATGGAGACTTTGACCTTTCGCAGATATCAAAACGTGTGCAAGTGTTACCTTCGGTACGTGGGCAAGTGTTTCCTTCGGATGCAGCATTACAGCTCTCATTTTGTTCTTTGTTCTGCGATTTTATCTGTTTGCCGAGTTAAATTACGTTGACTCATCCACGTGCGTTATACTCGAGGAAGCATTCGGGCTTTTCTCAAGAGACAACGTCATCAAGTCATTCAAACGGAAATGAGCTCCAAGAACGTTTATCAGAAAACGTTTTGAAGGGCCTCGAGGTTTTGTGATTAGAATTGATTTGAATGTTTGTTGCTATGTTTGACTTGTCTTCCTTTGCACATGTGTTGAGTGACCCGATAAATATCTCACTAAATCGGCTAATTTTGCGGGGCGTGTGCCTTTGTTTGATAATGAAGCGTCACTGACAATGTTTTCAGCCGTTCATTTAGGAGTAGAATGATATCAAATGGGTAATTAGATATTTGATGCTGGTAAATACGTTGATTTATGGACCTGCTGGAGCAGTTTCTGTTCTAGTGGGGTGCAACAACAACTTCCATAATATTTCCTTAACTGCGGATGCTATAAAATAAAATGTATACCTAAAATGGTCAAACCCATATCTCATTTTACCCCTCATTTTCTCTCAAGTCCAAAAAATCTCTACCCTGTGAAGTAAGGCGAGCTGTTTTTACCCCATTTGCCCCCTGTTTAACGTTTATTATATTTTTTGATTAAGGAAAGATAAATAGCAAAGACACAAGCGAATAAAAGCATAGTGTGTTAGCGTAATCTACGGATTAAGGATCAGATTTACACACAGGAGGAGCAAAGCTCTTCACATTGAGGCCTGAAGTGTTGAAGATGCTTAGAGAATCCCACACGTGGCCTATATTGTGAGCTCGTGTCATTATAGCCGGGTTACCTAAGAAATGAACAGATTTGTCGAGCTTTATTAATTGCCAGGCATTGTTGATCAAATTCCGTGCACATCCTAATAACAATGTTTATTAGACAGAGAAAAATGACTCGTCAGATGGGCAAAACGTGTAAGGACAATCACTCAGGTCCTCCACCCTAAAACGGTTTTGTATTGAGAGATAAAAGGAAGATGGTAAAGCAGAGCCCGCCACTGAAAATATCAATTATTCACCATCAAGACATGCAGCTTTTGTTACGCTCAAACAAAAGGCTCTTTTTCATAAAACATGTTGCGATAGAAAGCGAAAATGTTCCGTTTCGTGAACTCTACGATGTGATAAACACCACCCCTCTACGAAGAACACTCTTGGAGCACATCTCAGCACGAGTGCAATATTGGACCTTTAATATTGTCGACGATAACGGCTTCTTTGCAGTTAAGAGGCTTTAAAGTGAAAATAAGGCGAATAAAATATCGGGCTATGGCAGTTTTTTCAAGTGACAATGGATTACACTAGGTTTTCTAAGGCCCCTATTTTCGTTCATTTTTGTTATTTTAATCAGTTATTTTGACGTTAAGTTCATTAATAGGAGTGTGTCGGCGACTCAAAGATGTGTTTAAATTCCCAAGAATCCTTTGAAAAGTTAATTTCAGCGCATTTCCGTAAATTTAGGACGATAACGGAAAGTGGATCGCGTTTTTCGCTCCAACACGAACAATCCTCCCATCTCGTGTCGCCATACAAATTTAAATATTCGACGAAATGCAAATTAGATTTAAGCCCTGCCATTGACAAAAACATGTGGATAAATTCTTCTTAGAGGACGAGAAAGAATTTGAATTTCATGTTGTGAGTTTAAAATCATACCCGCACTCCTAAAAAACAGTTATTTTTCGCGCCGTTTTTATGAGTTGGTTAGGAAAACCAGAAGATCCGCGCATGCGTAGTTGTTATCAAGTTAAAATTGACTCGTAGATTTTCCATGTATTAGTCGCAAACAAGCAGAAGAGTTTTTCCTTGGAAGATTTTGCAACGAAAGTGGTTTGAATTTCTTTTATTACTTGAGCTGATTTAATAAAAGAACCCTTCGCAAACAATAGTTCGGACATTGAAAAGCATACTCACTTTTGTTTTATTATTGAGAAAAAAATTCTTTTATATTCGGAGAAGTTTTTTTTACGGAATTATTGTACAAAAGTTCAATGCTTGATAGATAGCTTCCTACAACCCTCGCTGGTCTCTCACCTATTGAAAGAAAAAGAAGCGGCATCACACTCTAGGAAATCAAGTCACATTAAAACAATGTTTAGACATTTCTTTTATCCCCGGCTCGCGAGGAAGCTCGTTTGAATTGCAGTGTTATTTTGTTGATAACGGACATGTCAGCATCCGAGCCGGTGCGCGTTAATGCAAACGTTCTCACTAATTGGTTTTGTGATTATGCCGTCGCTCCTTTGTATACATGAGACACACAGGTAGTACAGGGACTAAATAAAAGGGGCACGTGAGATTAAAATCTTGCTCATTTGATAATACACACAGTGAGGCACCGGGTAGTGGGTAAGGTTTCTTATTTCTCTCTTCATCATGATATAAATTTTCATGTTCATTTCTTACCTAGTGCATTATGTTTCGATATGTTTTTTAGCCTTCTCTGTTTGAAGTTGACAAGGTTTTCGTCGTATTTATTCGATATAATGGTCCGTTTTTAAACCTCGTAGATTAAAATGGAAGATATCTTTCACGGAAGTTTTTACAACGAACCGGCCTTTGACGGTGCTTTTCTGAACGATGGCTTCGCCCCCGAGAGTCGAGTCGGTTTTGGCCTCACAGATGAGCAGCTGAATTCGATCGTTAAGTACAGAGACACAGAGTATCCTTCAACAGCTACCACCGTGCAATACCATGAATTATCTACCTTTTCGTACGACAAAACTCCACAATGCCAAGCGTCAGGCCAAACGCTTCAGGACAGTACGCCTACAACCTTGGAGGTGCTGGATGAAATCTGTCTGGGTAATAACACGCTGGAAAATACTGAGACCACGGGAACCTACGACGGTGATGTTTGCCCACGACAAGGCCGCGGACAACCTTTGAAAAAAATGCGCCGTCTTCGCGCCAACGATCGAGAACGGCGTCGAATGCGGTCTTTGAACAGAGCATTAGAAAGCCTCAAGAAATGTTTACCAGTTCCACAAAGCAAGCGGCGCGTGACCAAGCTAGAAATACTTCGAATCGCTTGTAATTACATCCGGTCACTCTCGGACACTCTCAGCGAAGATTCACGAGGTAACGACGGCCCGAGTCGGGGAAGAAAGTCACGATCCCGCGGGATTGTCGGTGATCCCGTTGTAAACGGGTTTTCAGTCGCCCAAAGGTTAGAAATTCTGTCGGGAAATAACACAAGCCGCATTTGAGCTGAAGAAATTCTAACGTTTTGCAGGTCTATAAACTATCTAGATTTTCTCATTGTTGCTGAGTAATTATGTATTTAATCTTCGATAATTCAGGTGAGAAAGGTTGCATTTTATTGTTAATATTGTCAGATAGATGTCGACTTTGGACACCTTATGCTTGTAAATATATCGAACGTGGTTTTTGAAAGATATTTTGAAGTCAGTAAACAAGCGTCGAAATAACTGATATGTTGCCCGAGAAACAGCGTTGGATTTGTCTTACAAATCTAGAGAGCCATCTGAACTTTTACGCATCAAATGGTTTATAACTGTGCCTTTTCATGTATGTGTTTCAATTACTGCATCTAATTTCATTGAGACTTTTAACTTCGTATTATACGCTGCTATAAGGTAGAAAAACAACAGCGAATTCAGTAAAGACAAAAAAAATGGGAAAAAATGTTTGGTGCCCTTTATATCCGTTTAAATTTCAAACGGAAGGCGCATTTACTTATTGTGATATTTCTGCATGTTATGTTGAAAACATAAACAGCTGAAACTGGCAAATATACATATGATAGAGACGATAATTAAAGTGATTGTTTTTGAAAATCATGAATGGAATACTGAATGTGTTGTGGTGTACTTATAATGGGCAAAAAAATGATACAATATTATGTCGAAGTAAAGTATAGAATATTACTACCCCCTACCGAGCAAAATAAAATTGGGATACATAGTAAATTTTAGGTCACAAAAAAACCCGCGCTTACTTTCATTTATGAAAGATCCTTGGGCACAAGTCATAAGCGCTGCTCGTAAAAAATTACTTTGGGGTCGGTTTGTTTCGATGATTCCTTTCAGAATTCACAGAGTTTGTCTTTCAACCTTAAAGATGCTGATTTCTTCGTCTTTAGAAGTTTCTTTCCGTCATGTTTTAATCGACATGTACTTAGTTTTCCTCCTTCCTCTGCATAACCCCTTTAAAATATTTGACGCTTGAATGAGAAGCTAAATAAAGATTACCAAGCCCTTACACTTGATTGCTCTTGAATAACCGCTCACATTTAATCCATTGTGTAAACATAATTACTCTGGTGAATGGTTTTTCCACAATGGGAGAAGACTATTTAGCACAGATATGAGTGTCTTTCGATTTACAACAAATTGTATCTAAAACAGCGAGATTTACGCACTCAGTAAATGATGATAAATTGTAGAACTCAAAATCAGTCAAGCTTGGTCAAGTGCATGATTTGCAAATTGCCAAGCGTGGTTTGCCTGGCAAGTTGTTGATATTGACTTCTTAATGATACACGTGATAAGTTTTATTAAGTACTTGTATATCTTTTTGACAAAGATCACGCTCTTTTAGCGAAGGATTTTCGGCTCAGCAAACTCTTTAAAACCTGAGAAGATTGTTATAAATTTTTGGGCAAAAGCCAGAAAACTTCGTAACGAAACAAACGCAAAATCTATTCTAATTTTCGCTCGTAGAGCGAAACAAAAAAGTAATCAAGAAAGTTGTTTCCGATTACTGCAATTTTTAATTAAAACGTGTTTCTAAGACGCTGATCTATAAGTCCCTTTATGTTGCATAATAAACATCCGACGAGTTTGAATTTCCTTTTTCTTTCTTTTGACGACAGTAATTAAAAGAGGAGGGGAAATTCTGCAAAATAATATAACCAAAACTAGTTTAATTAATTTCTTAAGTTACGGCTGCCATCTTAATTGACTTTCGAGGTTAATAAGTCGAAAGTTTTGTGTTTACTAATTTATAGATGAGACGCACAGGCCCCGGTTGTTTGCAGGATAACGCTATCCACTGGTTAGATCTTTATCCGATAGATCGCACTGTACGTTTTCTTAGCAGTCATCATCTCGATAGCGATTTGTCCGCTGGAAAGTGTTGTCTATTCTCTCAACAACTGGAGGGAGGGTTTGTTTGAGTAAATCCCATTTTCTAGGCTTAACACAAAGATCTGTATCACTATTTGTTCCAAGTCAAAAGTTCACTGGACCCTTCTTGTTATTTGAAAGAAAGATTGATAAATTAAAGTTGGTCTGATTATTAATCGCGTGATTTATTCGTTAATCTTGGGCTTAGTTTCAAACAATGAACTTCGAGTTCAGGAACAGGATTTTCATTTAGTTTTAATTTGTCACCAGCTGAGATGCAAGCACTTTTGTTGAGCTTTTATTCAATTGGAGAGGTTGTATTTCAGTGTGAAAATGACCCTTTCTTACTCAAAGACTTTAATCTGATATCATTAACTGTTACATTTGGATCGTGCAGTTTGATCGTCCGTAGGAGAATAGTCCTGGGAGGGACTGTTGTCGAAAGCGGTGACTGACGTTTCGAAAACCTGAGCGGAAGTCAATGTCATCGAATGAATTCAATGATGTTTGGTCTGAGTCTGACAAAGGGCAATGCTTAAGAGTCACTCTTTCCTGGCTCAGTCCTTTGCATTTGTCCCTTTGAATTGTTAGCGTGTGTTACGAAATTTCGCGTGCCAGCCCATGAACCAACAACAACGCAACACAGCGGTCAAACGTAGGTAGGTCATGCGTTTAATTTTGGCCGCCCGCGCACTAATTTCCCGCGCAAAATTTCAAAGGAAAACGTAACAAACAATCGCCGCTGTCTCGTAAAGTAAGCGAAAGATAATCGAAACATTCATAGATAACTGTATAAAAGGAAACAAAACCAGGGTAAAGAAAAACTCGAGACTTTTTGAACCCAAAGGTTATTCAATTATTAATTACCATTCTGTTTTGAGCTTTATTAAGAAAGTTATACACTTTTAAAACATCGTGAATTGCTGGCTTATGAGGTTGTTTGGAACTCGTGTAAGATAATTTGGTTCTGAAAGCCTGAAACATGCCACTCAATCATTATAACGTTCGCATGTGCACAGACCTTTGACCGCTGCGTTAGCTCTACTTTACATGTAGGAGCCTTGGAAAATTCGTAGACGGAGAGGTTTCCGCAGTAGGTAACATTACCGAAGACATATTTTGAACATCAAAATTCGTCCTTGAAAGCTCAGCAACGGCAAAAAAATTGAAAGTTGTATTTCAATCGCTAAAATGCAGAGAAACCTGTATGTTTGTCCCAGGAACAATAGTGTGACATTTACAAACATCTTCAGCACTATAACAAATGGTTTGAACCCGGGAGTGACATGTAATAGTGTATATTGGTTTGATCGTCTGGGTGAGCGTATTCCTCAGAAGATATCGATATCCTGGGCGGAAGTCATCATTAGAGTCAAATGTCATCATCAGAGTCAGCTCTCTCTTGTGAGACAAATATCGTCCACAGAGTCTTCTTTACCCTTATCGGCCGGTCAAGGGAAGAAGGCGTTTTGGAAAAGGAATTAATACGCCGTAACAAGCAAGACAAACTATTTCCGCTCAGTCAACAGACAAAGCTGATAAAGGACCCACTCTCCTTTCTGCTTCTGGGAGGAAATTTTCCAATGCCATAAGCCCGCATGTTGGTTTGTTGGTGAAAACTTCTATTTCTTGTTACCTCATCTATCATTGCTATATATTTACTATTATTATCATTATGTAATTGATCAAGTTTCAAACAAATTGACTACACAATAGTTATGGTTGAAAGACAACCTCCTTCCTAGGTATGATTTGGAAACAAGCGGGAAAGGGACTTCTTTTCTTTTTTTTTAATCGCTTTCACCATGAAGATCCAGGACACACAACAGAGCGAGGCTCCAAATTAAGTGTGCCCTTAAGAGAGGCACTGTGAGAGTAGTGTTTTGCCTAAGAACAAAAAGCCCGGCCAAGGTTTGGACCCGAGCCTCTCGACGCGGAGGTCAATGCACTGACCATTAGACCACTGCGCCTCTCCTAGGATTTCTAAAAGAGATACGTCTCAATTTGTCTCAATTTCTGCATCTCATAATATTAACTTTGATTTACAAGTTTATCGTTCAAAATCCTCGTCAATCTTCTCCATCCTTAGCCATCCTTATTCGTTTTTGGTTTATTATTATCTCATTTGTGTTTCCCCACCTAACCGAACTAATATGTCCGATTTTAAACACGAATGTTCTATTTTGGACACTAATGTCCGATTTTAGATACTAGTGACCAATCTGAGACGCCAGTGTCCGACACCAGTGTTCGTTTTTAGACACTAAAGTCCAGTTTTAGTCACTGCTAACTGATTTGAGACACTGGTGTGCTTTTAGACACCATTGTCTGAGTTTAGACACCAGTGTCCAATTTTGAACACTCCCGTCCGATTTTGGATGCTGGAGTCTGATATCAAACACTAGTGTCTGTTTTTTAGAGAGTAGTGCTCAATTATAGACACAAGTGTCTGGCTTTGAAAACGAGTGACCGATTTGATACACTATTGTTCGATTTTACTACACTGGTATCGAATTATTTTTACTTGTGTTCTAATTTAGACACTAGTGTCCGATTTTGGACAAAAGTGTTCAATTTTAGATACCAGTGTTCTATTTCAGACACAAGAGTCCGATTTTGGACCCTAGTGTCTGATTTTATTCACTCCATCGCCCAATTTTGGAAACAATTGTTCAATTTTAAACACTAGTGTCTGATTTTAGACTCTAGCGTCCGATTATAGTTACTGTTGTGCAATTAAAGACACTTGTGTCTGACTGACGCTAATGACCGATTTTCAACATCATTGTCCGAAAATACACACCAGTGTCCAATTTTAGACTCTAGGGTCTGATTTTGGACACTTGTATTACAATATTGTCTAAATTTAGACACAAAAGTCCGATTTTAAACACTCCTGTATGATTTTGGACATTGGTGTCCGATTTTAGACACTCATGTCCAATCTTTAACATTAGTGACCGGATATGGACACAAGAATTCGATTTTAGACACTAGTTTCCGATTTTGGACCCTAGAGTCCATTTTAGACGCTTGTGTCTAATGATAGACACTAATGTCGTATCTTTCTCACTAGTGTCTGACCTAAGACACCGCTTTTCAATTTTGGACACCAGTGTCCGATTATGGACAGTAGCGTCTGATACTAGACACTATTGCCGGATTTTAGACAGTAGTGCCCTATTGGGACCCAACACAGCCAAAACGGACTAATCCTTTGGTTTTTTTATGGAAAATACTACAGAACGCTCGTTTCCAGTCCTTCTGGCCTGCGTCCTATCCTTTTTTTTAACCATATTCATTTCAGATATTTTAGCAAATAAGATGAAGAGCTGTGTGCAAACATCGGTAGTTTTGTTGAGTTATGAATCAGACATTTACCAAGATGTTCATCTATTGACGTCATGACAACTTTTGGTGATACTTTCATAACTGACGAAAACACGTATCCACAGTCCGTACCCGTTAGTCCGAAGTCTGTAGTCCGCAGTCCACAGTCCACAGTCCATACTTTTCAGTTCGCAACCCGCAGTCCTCGGTCTACAGTCCACAAACAGAGGTCTGAAGTTGACGGTGTCAGTCCGCCGTGCACTGTTTGCAGTCTGCAGTTTACTGTCCGTGGTCCACAGTCCAAAATTTTTTGTCTGCAGTCCGTAATCTTCGTCAATTGTTC